ATATTAAGTGCAAAAAGAATTACTTCAAATTTTATTTTATTTGACGTGAAATAAAAAAAAAGTATAATATAATATATTGAATTTTTATAAAATATTAAAATATAATCTTACGTGTGAATTAAATTAACTATTTACTATTATTTTTGATTAATTAGAATATATATTATTTTGCGAGCTTTTATGAGCCTTAGTCTTTCTACAATTTTCTTTTGTTATCGAAAATTATCAAATGCATTTTAATAATAACCAAGATATGCTACCGTTATGAAACATTCTAACCAATGCAGATGTCATCGGATACTATATACATATGATTCATTTGCGATAACATAACGATGCGAAATGAAAGTGCACTCTACTCTTATTATTCTTTGTATCATATTGACGTAGCTTGATTTTAAAATCGTATATTTTTCGATACTTTACGGAACATTTTGTTGTCGGATCGGCAAAAAAAAATTTACGCTGATATTCGTGTCGAAAATTGCCAGTTACGTTTACGTTCTTTTTTCGAGCAAGACCGCAGCGGCGAAAAAATAACGGGTTTAATTTCCCTGCGATGTGTGCCGCTTCCTCTTTTTGGATGGCGAAAACGAAATGGCTCGAAACATTCGCCAGCCACGGATATCCGGGTACAGCGTCTAGATGTCTGTGCACGGTGAGCATAATTAATAATTTTGGAGTGCGCCGTATGGCTGGGCAAGCAGTCCTTCATTTTTTTCTTCCGCACTATTTTTGTTCGTTGAATAATTGCCTAGCGCGTCAAGGTGGAGTTTGAAATCACCTGGCCGAATCGCGCTGTGTGGGGTTAATCGTTAGACAACCCGTATTGTAATTCCCATCTGTTCGTATCCCTTTTAAATTCAGCCATTTCAATTCCCTGTCCCCTCTTTCTGTCTGCTTATCGATTTAAATTAACCTTTGAGAAACGCTGTACTAGATACATAATTTGTCCTTGTTCTTGTCGCATTGTGCGTTTAGACTATTTCAATTGTATTATACACGCACGCGTGCGTGTATAATACAATTGAAATATTATTACACACACACACACACACACACACACACA